CTTTTTTTATTTTGTCCAAACTAATAGTCATGGAAATAAAAATGCTAGAAAGTTAATTTTCGTGTTCGGTTACATGTATATATATATATATATATATTATTTTTTTTGAATCGGATCGAGATATCTGAATTGACTGATGCATTTTTTGTTAATCTGCTACTTTAAGGCGCAATATTTTGACGTCCAGTGATCCGATTTGAACAAAAATACCACCATTCAATTCGTCACGACTAGGTGAATCGAATGGTAGTATTTTTGTGTGAACAAAACTACTAGGTGTCGAGATATCGCGCCCGAAAAAGTGATTGGAAACTTTTAGTAGGAATCTGTAATAAAATATGGGACTGTCTTCGATACTCCGTTCGTCTTGGAAATATTGCAAAACTCAATAAACTGGAATATTATGTTCATCTAGATTATTGAGAAATTGGTTAATTTATCACAGAATGGCTCATTCACAACACATCATAAAAAAGTGTGCCAAATTTGAATAAAGTCACATGATTTTAGAGTACCAAAATTTCAAACGGAAAGCCTACGGACCGTGCTTCGGGATAGTGCTTAATTACGTGACTTTTTTCCGGGCCAGTGCTTATAATCGATGTATTGATGCAAATACATGTATAATGTTATTTACGTATAATAATTAATTGATGTATCACACAAGCTTAAATACAGATGAATAAGAGAATAAAGATTGATTTATATTAACGATAAGACTTGTTGTTAGTGCCAAACACTAATTACTTTTTTACATTTCCTTTCTTACTCCCTTATATATTAAATCTCTTCTAATTAACTTTTGTCGCATCCAAGTCGGAACAGTATGAGCAGATACATGTATATTGTGTGAATTTAGCTGGCATTAACTAAACTTGCGATCACTAACTTAACTCATGGCATAAGCAATAAGTAATAACGATAAAGACTGTTACTTTAGAGTCATAGGCTCGCTTCAGTAAAAGTAAATAATATTCCACATGTAGTTAATTATAATTAGCTAGCTTTATTCAAACAAGCTAACTTTAATAATTTGAAGCATATATTACATAATTTCTTGTTAATAAAGTGATAAATTAATATATACTTTCTTTGTACCAATAAATAATTTAACAGAATAAGAAATATGTCAATGTAAAATCATATTAGCTACTACTAAATAGATGATTTTATTCGCATTTACATCCACCCGTAAAGTCACATTGGCAGTTGGTGCATTGACAGCTACTATAAAAACCAAGTTTAAAAGAACAACGAATGAGAACTTTAACTTAACAAAGTAATTTATTGACAAAGAATTTTTAGTACTTACTGGTTACCACAGCAATTATCTGCTTTCATTTCGCTAAACGTAGTAGCTTTTCCAACGCAATTGCACGAAGATCCACACTGGCAATCTAGTCCACATGGGCAATCGTGTGTAGAAGTCATTTTTAGGTTTAATTATTCGAGTTTAATTAAGAAAAGCGAGATTTTGATTTTAATAATTGATTGTATTGTATAATTAATACTTTCTGAAACTAAGAATTTGGAGGAGAGATCCGACTCTTTATATAAAAAATCTCCTTTGGATTTACAATAAAGAAAATATATTACATATCTCCTTTGTACGTACTTTGTAAAATTTGTATTATTTTGTTGCACAATTCTAATTATGTTTGCGTGAATTTTGCCTAATAATGAGCGTGTTTGCGTGAATTTTGCCTAGTTAATGAGCGTGTTTGCGCGCATTTTGCCTAACATAATTAGTGAGCGAATTTTGCCTATATAGTCATTGGGCGTGTTTGCGTGAATTTTGCTTAGTTAGTAAAAGATTTAACTTTTTCAGATTTGACAAAACAAAGTTTTGTGTTTTGCAACTCGTATCGGTACACAGATACAGTATATTTATTTAGATGACAATATGTAAGGATAAATACATGTGCAACACACAAACGCGATCATAGGTACACTCAGCCCAAGTTGGTTATGACCCTAAGCCTTGCCAATTAGCGTGCAGAGATCCACGCCTCTAATGTCATCTCGCAAAGTCTTCAAAAAGACAGCTAGTCAAACCGTTAAATCTATTGACTTTTCTTCATTAGAACTCCATTGTTCGAGAAAAACGCCATCTTTTACAGCCAATTACAAAGTATCCATTAGTCCAGATAACAACAACAAGAACTACAGTGATCTTTTTCTCAGCAGGGGAGATTATAATTCTTGGTTTATGGGTGACAATGGGACGACATAAACAATCGTATGAAATTGATAATTTACCAATTTAATCGTTAATTTTGATATCTGTCTTTGTTCATTCGCCCTTTTTTATATTAAGTATCACATATTCATATGCAATATTTGTCACAGTTGCTTAACGGCAAAATACGGTACAAAAGAACCTTCAAGATATAACGATAATAGACAGCTGCTTACCTCCATTCTAAATTCTGTAATGCATAATCAACTAGATTCACCGCATAAAAGATTAAAGAAATGTCGCATAATCAATATTTATATCGATATCATTTGATAAAAAGAATCTTCTAACGAGTTTTGTGTTAACAATGATGTACTCTTGCATTTTTTGTGACCATAGAACCGCAAACTTATCTTAGCAAAAAATATTGCAATCAAAGATTTTGCATTCCTTTAGAAAAAGTCAGCAAGCTATTTATACGAAGGAGGTTAAATCATGCGTGATCAGTGTTAGATAGTGACCATCAAAATTTATCACCTGATTCATTGAAAAAATTAAATATACTTTATTATAATAATTCTTAGTTTCTTTTTCTTAACGTTAATAGAATTTTTTTTACTCTCATTAAATGGCATAATTACAAAGCTTGGTATTAAATTTGCATATACTGTAATTATAAAAAATCTAGCGCCAGAATAATGTTTATCGATAAGGAGTACGTATGTATTTATGTACAGTACTGCATATGCAAAAACTATGAGGTACAAGTGCATACCTGTTAAACCGATGTGATCAAAATATTTAAAAGCTGTTCCTGGAACCAAATTCGGTTATGTAGGTTTCAATTAGTACGTACTTCGATTTAACGGGTTGGCTGTGTATTCCACAGTATAAGGTATTATGGTGGGGTTAAAAGTAGTGATTAATAAAAATTTTACAAAAGCTCAGTTACTTACAAAATTTATTGAACTAATACAGTCTTCAATTTACTTTAACAAAAAAAGAAATACTATTATATTTAAATGCTTGCTATTTTATAGTTTGTACAAGAACACTTAAAAATTCAATATTTTTAGCACTATGAATATTGTAATAAATATCTCATAATATAGTGATCAGAATCGAGTAATTTTTAATTGTTTAATTTGTCTTATTAAAATGAATTAAATAACATAAAAATCACTTAATTCAGATCATTAGATAATGAAATATTCTTATTCAAAGATCATAATAAAGATAATATTATAGTTATTGAGAATATCTCATGATTTAGTAATTAGAATTGAATGATTTTTATACTATTTAACTCAACTTAATAAGATGAATTGAATAATAAAAAATTGCTCAATTTTGATTACTAGATTATAAGATATCTCAATTCATCACAATATTTATATTTTTTATAATATTGTTATCATTTCTGTTAATTTTATTATTTTTCAAATATAAATTATATGTTTTTCATGTGTTTCAATTAGGTGGGAGAGTTATTAAAGATTTTTATGTGTTTTAAGTATTTAAAGTTGGAAGAAACTAATTTATTAAAGATAGATAACAACATGTTAATTTTGTTGAACAGCTAGAATGAGTTTAGAAATCTTCTTTTAATTTAAATAATTTAATTATTAAGTAATCTTCTTTTATTAATTAACTTTTAATAAGATTATTTTCTTTTTTTATTAAATTTCTAGATAATATTAACTAACTTCGTATTGTGATAGTAAGAAATTAATTATATTAAATAAAAGATATCACTTGTTACAGATGAAAAATCTTTAAAAATAATTTACAAATAAAATAAATCATTTAAAATTGAGCCATTTTAAAATATAATAATTTGATTATTATTTAATATTTCTTTACTAAATAATATAAATGATAATATTTTCAAATAATTTTAAGTGATTATAATTAAAATATCGAGTTTAAAAGCTAAACTAAGTTAAACTAAATAACTTACAATAATAATAATTAATTTTAAGAGACAAAAACTCAGTTATTAACTAATTGAAATAAAATAAATATTATATAATTTTATAAATTAGACTAATAAATAATAACAATTTTAAATAATAGATAAACAATATTAAAATTGATCAAGCAAAAAATATTCAACAAATATAAAAATAATTTTTGGTTAATTTTCATCAAAAAATAAAATAATATAAGAGCTCAGTAAAAGAATTATAAATTAATTCAATTAGCTTGTAATATATTATTTTATATATATTAATTAAATAAATATAATATATTAACAAATTAATGATTAAAATCAATCATAATTATATTATCCAAATTGAAATTGATTTCTAATAATATTTAATTGAAAACTAATTTTTAATAATATTCATTAACAATTAATTATTAACATTTTACTAATTTATATTTAGTATAAATATATTTGAATACTAACTATATATATTAGTAATAGATTGCAAACCACATCAATTAATAATCAATTATCAATATTTTAACTAATTAATATTGATTATATCTTATTAATAATTAATTATCAATCATGTTCATTGATAATTAAGTATCAATAACTTACTAATTAGCAATAATTATGATTGCAATTAATTAGAATTGATTGCAAATAAAATTGTTAACAATCAATTGCTAATAATTTTTATTGGTAATTAATTATTAATATATTAGCATTTTCTATCACTAGCAATTACAATTGATTACTAATAATTTTTTAATGATATTTGAGTATATTCAATTATTAGTGATTATAATCAATTATAATTACAAATAATCAATTAAAATCTTTATCAATAGTAAATAATAGAAATATTAATAATTAATTACTAATAAGTATGATTATAAATCAATTATCAATAAATATAGAAATTTTCTAATATATATATAATATTATTTTTATTTTAATATAAAATAAAAAATATTATTAATAAAATTAAAAACTTTTATATAAAGAAATCTTATATTTTTCATATTTTATTATATTTTATTAATTATTTTTTTTGTATTTTATTATTTTTAATTGTTACTATATAAATATAATAATATTTTATATAATATTAGTTAATTAATAATATATTTTAATTTTAAAATGTTATTATTTAATATAAAGACAAATTTTTAAAAATTTAATTAATAATTTTGTTTTTTGTAATAAGTTTTATAAAGTTATTAATTAATTTTATCTTTATTAAGTAGTAATATTTTAAAATTAAAATATTATTATCAAATATAATCTATTATTATTATATTAATACAGAAATTTTTAAAAAATATATTATTTAAAATTGTATTTTTTCAATAAAAATATAAATAAAATATATTATTTAATAATATTTATCAAAAATTATTAAAAAATATATTTTTTATATTTAAAATTTATATAAAAGTTTTCAATTTTATTAATAAATATTTTTTATTTTTATATTATTCTATAAAAAAACTCATAAAATTCTCCAGAAATAATTTAAAAAATTATTTGAATTTTTAGGAAAAAAATAAAAAATCTGTTTTTTCTTAAAAAATTCAAATAATTTCTTAAGTCTTTTTAAAATATTTTTAGAAAAAAAAATAATTTGTTTATTTTTAAAAATATCCAGATAATTTTATAAATTATTTTTTTTTAAATTCTGAAAATTTATCAGTTAATTGAGTTAATTTGGTAAATTTTTGGTTCAATTATAAAAATTTTTACTCTTTTCTAGTAAATTTTTGAATTTTTTTACTATATTTCAAATTATTTTTAAAATTAACTTTTTATAATATTTTATTATATATTCTGATTTATTTCTAAAGAAAATTGATAATTTTTATAATTTTAATTTATTAATTAATATATTTTATTATATATTTTGATTTATTTTTAAAGAAAATTGGTAATTTTTATAATTTTAATTATTAATTAATATATTTTATTATTCTTTGAAAAAAATCAGTAATTTTTATTTTAAATCTAAATATATTTTTATATATTTCTTCTTATTAATATATATATATATATATATAATGAATAATAAATAGTTATTTTATCATAATAAAATAATATATAAATATTATTACTATTTTAATGAGACTTTGAAATACTCAAGGATATTTATAATATTCAAAAGAAAAACTTGAATGTCTTAATAACAATTTACAGTTTGAATAATACTTTATGATTTTAGACTGAATATAAATTAAAATATTGTTACCATTCTAGCTTTCATTAACCATATCACGTTATATTTCTTAGTGCAGTAATATTTATTTAAACTTTTTCTTTTAT